GCCTGAGCACATATTTCTCAGGGAGTGAATTTTTTGAGTAAAATAATTGAGTACAATTTCATCTAAAATAGAGTAATTCATCATTTTACTCAAATATGATCTCTGGAATAGAAAAATTCACTTAAAAACTCATGTTATAGTTTAACACAATAAAAATTTGAGTCAAATCACCCAGTTTAGAGTATTTTCACTCATTACTAATTATACGTCAAACGCGTTTCTTCGATACCGAATAAGCTATTCCCCTGTTCCTCAGTTTTTAATTATCTGTTCGAGTCATAGATAGTCTTGTCCCTTCGAAGGTGCCAAGGTTACAAGTCCATAGTGTGTGTGTGTGTAAAGTGTGATGTAAAGTGTGACAGTGGCCGCGTGGCGTGGTGAAGCAAATAGGAACTCATAACTCCTAAAGATGTTTTATGTTAAGAACATTTTTTTTCACATCGCAGAAGTCCGCCCAACATAGCATAGATTCAAATTCGACTGCGTCCACTGATTGCCGCAATGCTTGGATGTTTCCTTGACTAATTAGCGTAGGTCAATCTGGTACTGGGAACTGGAACATTTGGCAGAATAACATTTTTTTTAATTTTCAGGAGGAAAAGTATCTGGATTTTCCGGGGGATTTTCGTTATTAAAAGTTAGTTTAGAAATTAGAAATATTCGAGAATGTTGGTAGCCGAGCTGACGAATGCTCTTAATAAAGCGGATTTTTGCGATGTGATGCAACTTTTCTAGACATCTAGCTTAAATAGTTCCTGTATTTTTTCCAAAAAAAGTTGAAGACTTTTTAAAATGTTAGTATGTAGTATAATAATAGTGTTATATTTGGTTTTATTTGTTTTTGTCAAATAAAAATGACAAATAAAAATATTTTTGAAGGTTCTACACTTTTTCATTTGGTTTGTTAAAAAAAAACGAAATATTCTAAATAATTTTTTTAAAAGCTATATGTAAGCTAAGTTGTTATTTTATTACAAGTGAACAGATGCCTCCCAAAAGTGAATTTTAGGAAATGGACATATTCGAGACCCTGTCCTAAACTGAAACTTACCTTTGAAACCATCTGCCCACCTGTTAAAAAATAACAAGTTAGTTTACATATAGCTTTTAAAAAAATAATTTAGAATATATTTCTCAATACTAAGTGAAATTAATACCCAGATATGAGTACTAATCGAGTTAAGTGTAACACAAATTTGAATAAAAGTCACTCACAATAAAAGGTGTACTTGAACTCAACACTTAGTGAGTTCACTCATTTTAAAGTGAATAAATAATCAAAATCGATCAAAATCCTACTCAAGGTAAACCATAATGAGTAAAAAAGGAGTCTTTCGTCTAATCTCCATTGAGTGAAAACACTCAGTGCTTTTCACTCTGAGAATTGAAGATTCGCTCAGTTTTGTAGAGTGGAAATTTCACTCAATCGGGTGTGGACAGAAATTGAGAAAGTACTGAGTGAAATCTGAGAGAAATTTCACTCATTTTTTTTACAGTGTATCTGTAGATGTTAGTAATGTATGGCAATCGCTTCTTTAATTTTAAAGAACATAACATAAATAAACGTAACATACGTATAAAAATTAAAAATAATCATTCAGAAAGTTTGAAGCTTTTTGGTTTTACCTTTTAAGTAATTGTTATCAGGTAGTAATTGTTAATGTTGAAGTTTAACTTGATATAATGTCATTTTAACAGAACGTCAACGGTTTTTGTAGATGTATCTGTTTAAAAAAATAAAGTGTTCTCGAATAATGGCATTTAAATATTTTAAATCGTTTTTTTCTTTATTCTTTGTATTTTTTTGCTTCCGCCAAGGTAAAGAGATAAACTTTCCGCAACGTTAAGCATTTTTTGGTTCGTTCGTTAGGCAAATTTGATCAGTAAACCTAACTGCTGACAATTAGTCTCCATTGGATTAACGCAGCAATGTTTATAAAAAATAACTATTTTATTTTGTAGATTTTCTTGCAGTGGCGAAATATCCATATAGGATTTTTTTGGAGAGGTGAATCCGCCACATAGTTATAGACATTTTTTGACACTCACTAATAATAAAAGTTCGAAAATTATACTTGTATCTTAAACAAAGCTATTAAATTATCAAATTTCTTTGTCAAAGATCTTTTTATAAGAGATATTTGATGGAAAATTTGGGAATGTTATTATATGTACAATATTTTATAAAATCACACATATTCAGTTCTTCACACTATCAAATTCACACTATCAAAATCACACTATCAAATTCTTCATAAAATATATTTTAAATACAGTCTTTGACAAAGCCATTAACAAATAACATTGACATCCTTAATCAAATCCTATCTAAATTATTTTTATAATTATTCTGTTTAAAAGTATGAAAAAAATAATAATAACGATAACAATAATTTGCTTAACGAGCGCATTCCATATTATAATTATGTCCCAATGAACGTCCTAGAGAATGATGCTTGTAAATTATACTGGGATAGAGAAATGTTAACAGATCGTACAGTGCAACACAACAGACCAGACATATGTCTGCTGGACAAACACAACAAAGAAATCTATCTTATTGATATCGCTGTCCCTGCCCCTACAAATGTCAACCGAAAACATCAAGAAAAGATCGACAAGTATACCTTACTAGCACAGGATATGAAAGAGGTCTGGGGAGTGGATAGGGCGTCAGTGGTTCCTATAGTGATTGGATCAACTGGAGAAATCCCCAAGCAGCTCCTTCACAATCTGAAAAAACTGGAACTCAACCAAAATCTTTATATACAACTTCAGAAGTCAGTTATTCTCGCAACATGCAACATAATGAGAAAAGTATTAAACTTGAGAACATAAAAAAAAACGATAATAAACTGGAAAAAATAAACCATTAATAATATCAACCTAGAATTAGAGACCAAAAGCAAGGACGATTATAGGGAAGTCAGAATAACAGAGTGTGTGTTGTAAGTGTTTCTGGTTTTCTTAGGAATTAATATGTGTGAAAACAATCCCTAAATGCAACGAAAAATAAAAATTAATACAATATGTATAATGACAATAAAACAATAATATGTATATAATAGATAATTACTGCACTTTAGCTGGCTGGGTCATGCATAATTTCTTGTAGTTCAATACTCAATTTAACCAAAAAATGTAATTCTAAAAGGTAATAATTTATTCTTTATACCTATCATAATATGGTAGTACAGAAATGATGTTAGTGTTGTTAGTTGATTAGTTGGTTAGTTCCAGTTAACAATGCTTATTCAGTCTAAAGTCAGAAATATTCTAACTACAGAACAAGACAACTACAGTAGAATGATGCTCCATGAAGATAATAGTCTACGGCTAGGGGTTGACAGCAATTTCTAGTCGGCCGATTAATTGCAACCAACTCAAAATTGCACGTGAGCCTCTAGTCTAAGTGTAGAACGATTACTCACTACAGAACAAGACAACTACAGTAGAATGATGCTCCATGAAGATAATAGTCTACGGCTAGGGGTTGACAGCAATTTCTAGTCGCCCGATTAATTGCAACCAACTCAAAATTGCACGTGAGCCTCTAGTCTAAGTGTAGAACGATTACTCTACACTTAGAGAACAGTTTATTTATCATCCTCAATGAGAGATACCAATTAGCAGTTGGATCACAAACCCTAATTAGTTTTGATAAGGATTTATATTTCTACATTATTGGTTAGGTTAGGTTTTTTATTTATTATTCATTTATTTATATTTATTTCCTGACATTGTCATTCGTTTTTTACACTGCAGTTTTGTATTACGAGTTTTTGGTTAAAATAAATAGTGTTGTGATGCTTTAAGCTTGAAAATGTTTACTAGCAGACCTTGCAGTCGAACATTGTTCTTTTTAGAACCTATTTTAGTGCGAAGTGGTACAAGATAGCTTAATAGCCGTAAAAAATGCATCGCAACTTTATTAAAATATTTTGAACGGGAAAGCGGTAGTAATGACCCTTTATATCCCTTAAGTGTTGTCAAGAAGGTGAGTTTTGTTGATGTAAATAATAACTGTTTATATATTTATAATTAATTTATTTTTGTTTCCTAAAATATTTTGATTAAACGAAAATATATATAAGTGGGGAACGCTGTGTCGGTCAAGCTTAATCACGTGACTAAAAGTTTATTTGGTATGAATTGTAGATATAATATAAAAAAATATATTTTATGTCACCTATATATCTTTAATATTTTGTTGATACATATTATGCATTTAATATAAAAAAAATTAGATAACACAAAATTTTTTTTAATAAAATAAATAAAAAATAAATTAAATAATAAAAAAATAATAACAAGGGAAAACTATATAAATAAAATATTTCTTTTAAACAACGCTTTAATTTATGTTTATGTCCGTTTAGAAAAATATATTTTCTAGTGTTTTGTATTAGTAGGTAACTCAATATTTTGAAAGGATGGCTGTAATCTTTTATATTTACTTATTAACAAAGATTTAATAAAAGAAAAGAAAAAAAAAACTTTTTAATTATTTTACAAATAGATTTCCAACCGTAATTACAGAAAAAGATTAATACCAGCTCCCCATTCGCAATTAAAAACGAATTAGTAAACCCAGGCGAGCTTCTAACATTCTCCAACTTTACAATAAAGAGAAAAAAAAACAAGACTAATTAAATCAGAACACACACAAAACACCCTCCTCCTCCTCCCAAACTACTCCGAACAAAGAAATCATACGAACCTAATAGAACAGAACTAATAGCGCACAACCAGCTCATTCCTCCAGACTATACCCGGCTTTATTACATAACCAATAGAAGTACTTTAGAGCATAAAACTGTTTTCCTAAATATTCAATCTAATAAAATCTCTTCCCCAAGTCCTGCCCATAAAATAAATACAAGAGCTTTAAGCGCGACGCCTCGCCCCTTTCATTGGCCGCAGCATTATCCCTGCCGCGCTCCGGTTGGTCGACGGCCAGCGGTAGGGGCAATCCCTCGAGAGGGGAACACAACATGGCTGATTTACTGCCAGTCGAGCCTCGCAGCCGGTCAGGTTTGGTTTAGTTGCGAGCGAAAACCTGTCGGAAGGACACCCCGTCCGTCAGAAAGACGCAGTAAGAAATCTGTAGGTGCAAGCTCGGAAGTGATTGGTTCACTGGAATTTTGAGACCGTAATACATCCAGTGACGATAGAATTTTAGAAGATATATTGATGGTTCGAGGAGGTTTCAGTTAGAAAAAAAAATCGTGGGGTTCCGGAGGTGCAGGACTGGATGTGATTGAATTTCTGGAAGTCAGTGACTGTAATAAACCGAGTGACAGTAGAATTTTGGAAGATTTGACTTAAAGAGTGTTCGTGGTGGTGTGTTGCATGTCGTAGCCGGTCGAACAGGGACGCAAAGTGTTGGGAATAGGCGAGAAAGTGTCTGGTACGGTGTCTGGCATGACCGTGCAAGACGAGGCGAGGGGTGCGATGCCGCAAACCGCAGCCACGAGGTCGCGATTCATGATCACCGATATTCTGAGCGGGCCGGCCGACGGGGCGGCCGCGGCGGCGATCATGAGGGGCGGCAGGTCGCCCAGTCCGGGCCCCAGGGACTTGAGTTTGCATTCGAATCCGATACACGACAGCGATACGGACAGTTCGGGCCATCCGGATACATCAAGTATATGCTCAAACGGTAAGTCAAATGCTTTACAAATTGTGTCACGCATGATTCTTAACTTAGAAAAATGTCTTTTTATTTCTTTAACCCTCAACTGACGTGGTGAATTTTTGTACCGCTTAGGTCCCAATGGACCCCAATTTTTTTCAGTTAAAAATAAATGATGAAGAGGTTTTATAAAAAGTTTGTTATTTTAACACTGTTTACAATATATTCAAACTTGTTAACAAACAATTTCAGTCATTTTCAATAAATTAATAAAAACGGACACAAAAATAAAGTAAAACGCAATTTTTAGTAATTTTTGACAACAGAAATATAACTTGAATATAAATTATTATTGAAACTACAAACAACTGAAATGTGAAGCTAAAATAATAAACATAAATTATTTTCAACAAAACTGCAAACTTTGAATGTACATAACTTTTTCAAATACAGTTCATGCTAACATAGGATCTGCAGTTGCCGCACATGGATCGTGCACATTTGATTCATGAGATTTTTGTTTTTTGTCTTTTCTCAATTGTCATATACCACATCTCTTTCGTTTCTGGTATTGATTATTCAATTTTCTCTCTTCTATAAGTAAGAGATTCAGAATCAGAGTTATGGTTACTCTTCGGAGAAAAATCAATGATCTTCATATTACTTAAGTCTCATTAAGTTCATCAAACCACTCAATCAATGCTTCCTCAAAATTAGCGTCCCCGTGATGCACACTTTTTGGACTACCCACCATCCTAATAATGAAACATTCTTGGCGTAATGGTGCCACACAGACCCCAATGAGACTCCCCGCTGGTAGTAGCAATACTTAAAAAAAAAGTGTGCCTTTAACAGTTACATATTGGTACCCTAACTTAAAAGGAAAATGGCGCGGCGAGACCTAAATGTTAAACATAAATATTTTACAGAAGTTTAAATAGCGCTTGGGGTCCGCTACCAACCAAACCTTATGTATATCATACTATCGCAACTTTGCCGGCAAATATTTGTTATGGGTTTGAGTGCAATAAAAAATATAAGATTTTCCATTCAAACAAACCTCTGAATGCTTAAATCATTGAAAGTGAACAACAAAAATGATTGTCTAAAACTGAATGCCTTTTGCCGAATGGCAAAAAAGAAGAATACTATTTTTATTTACATTAATGCTCATATTAGTACCGTATGATCGAGAAAAAACGGCGTCAGCGATGGCTATGGAATGAAGATCGCTGTCATTTTATATGTAAATTTATATGGGAAATGTCATTGATGTTCATTTCCCAGCCAACTGGACGCCGTTTTTTTTCGATCATACGGTACAAAACATTCTTACATGTATAAAAGATCTAGGGATGTTTCTGTCCACACCATCAAGCAACTATCGTTTCACAAAATTCGGTGTATTGAAGAACTACCTTTTATTACGATTGTCACTTGAAACTTCTTATATGAGTAATTTATATCAACCATCTTAGTATCATCTACACATGTGTAGTAAAAAAACTGATGACTATTTTTTTGTAACTTACAGAACTTTTTTAATACCCTCAATAACTCAATTAAAACTCAATTTTTAGTTTTAATTTTTTAAACTTCATTTTAATTTTGTATTGTTTGGCAGTTGTATTGTTTGAGTTACACTGACTACTAAAGACAGCAGAATTTGACATTTCGTTTATAATTATAACGAGTAGATGAGTTAAAGAGAGAAAGAGTTAAGGATTTAACAATATTTTTGTTTCTTGCTTTTCTGTCTCTTATTTTTATTATTTGATTTTATGTTTATTCAAAATAGAGAAAAAATAGAACATAAAAATATAACTTCATTCTTTAGCGACGAACTCATATTTTTATGTGTGCTTATTTTTTATTTCTATATATAAATTAGGGAAGTACCTGCTATAAAAAACCTGGTTTTGATTTAATAAAATTACTAAGTATAATTATAAAAGTGCTTCTTTGCGCAAAAAAAGTTTGCAATATATAATATATAACCTCCTTAGTCCGCATAAGATTATTTTAATATTTATAACAAAAAAGTATATTTAAATTATTAAATAATACACGAAAGACAATGAACATTCATCTTTATTTTTTCTCATAACAATATTATTTCCGCGCTATTCTTTTAAACCTAAATTATATAATCATAATAACCTGAGTAAAATAATGACTTCACTTAACCACAGAAAGGACATCAACTCTTCTAACAGTGTCACTTTCAGGATCACAGTAAAATTGCGCAATTGTCTAGAATTTTAGTTCACGATTTAGAAAATCTTATAATTTTAATTATATTTAATTTTAATAAGTTCAAAAAACGATTCATTAATATTTGAGTACATTTATAAAATCTTTTTATTTATGTTTATATAATTTTTATAATTAAAATCAAGTAAATAACAAATACTAATAAAATGTGAATGAAAATGAAACGAAGTAAAATTAATAATGAAAAAAAGCAAGGAAACATTTTTTGACGTTTATGTATCTTTATTTTTGAGGACATGCTCTAATATTTAAAATTTTCGAAATAAAACTTTTCATTTTTAAATAATAAATTCAAGTACTTTAAGTTAATTGTCTATGTTTTGAAATTTTTACGAAAACGTGATTGACAATCAGGAAAAGCTTGCATTAAATCGGTGTCAGTAATAATTTGATTACAATATATTTTGAAACAACCCGCAAACTACTAATAGGTCTAAAATCTTTCTGATTTGTAGGATTCGTTTTTTTTTGGAATAGGTATTATGAGAGATTTTTTTTCCACAAATCCGGAAAACATTCACAAGAATACAGGTATTTATTTTATTCACTAGCGGTTTCCCACAGAATAACATGCATAATTATAGATCTCTTATTGACAAATTGTCTTCACCAACCGCATTTGTTTTAATTGACAGTACAATTTTATGTCATGATGATTAATTAATTTAAAGTTCAGTTCTAAAGTAATATTTTTGTGCCTATTATTATTGTAAAAAAAATTCTATCGAGGTTGTGAAGATTATTCTTTTGCAACTGGCAAAAAAATTATTAAATTTTATAGGATCAATTTCAGGTGCTACCTACTTCAGAGGTTATTCTATGAGTGAGATTTATTTTTTTTGCTGCTTTCCACAAGTCATTACCCTGTTCACTAGTTAGAGATTTAAAATAAGAATTATCTTCACGGTTAATAGCGTATTTAATGTAATTTCTTAGTTCAAGATAGAATTGATGGTTACTACATGCCATTAAGAGTATATTTGACTAGTCCGACTAAGTTGCAAAAATAAGCGTTCAGCATTTAACGTTTTATGTAAAACTGGCTAAGTATTTTTGCACAAATGAAGAAGGAAATTAAAGATAAAGGATTATATTATACTATATCCCTATTGTAGCACACTTTTTTTTACTTTAATTCATTTTTATTTCGATTTTTTCCAAATAATTTTTGAAGTAAAGTCAATATTTGGATGAAAATTGGTGTCTGGGAGTTTTTTGACATGAGAAATTTGATTTTGATGTCAATATGACTTCTACTAGTAGAGGGCGCCACCTACATGTGTTTTAACTGTTTTGAAGCGTAATAACTTTTTGTCCATACCTGTATAAAACTACCGAGCGAAAAAATATACATCTCTATGACTTCTTACATAAAAAATATCTCTTTGTAAAAATTGCTATGAGCAACACTTCTTAAGATATTTAGAATGGAAATAGTCAATACATGTCATTATTGACAAAAAATAAATACGTTGGGTAGATAGTTGTTTCACTGAAATAATAAATTAGGGAAATTTTAATTTTTTTAAATTGATCATAAATTTTCCTGCAAAAAATGATGAGAAAACTGTTTCTGTTGAAGTTTTAGCACAAAAACATTTCAAATTTATGATTTCAGTCTAATATTTTATGTCAATTATGACAGGTATTGATAATTTCGATTCCAAATATCTCGAAAACCATTACTCGTAGCGATTTTTACCAAGAGACCTTTTTCACGTAGAAACCATTGTAAATGTGTATTTTTTACTGGTTAGTTTTATACAGGTATGGATGAAAAGTTATTACTTTTCAAACCAGTTAAAAAATCTGTAGGTGGCGCTGTCTATTAGTAGGTGTCATATTGACATCAAAATCAAATTTCTCATGTCAAAAAACTCCGAGACACCAATTTTCATCCAAATATTGAGTTTACTTCAGAAATTATTTGGAAAAACCCGAAAAAAAAATAAAAATTCTACACCCTGTATCTCCGAAACTAAGCATTTTAGGACATACATTTATACGAACTTTTTTACTTATTTTTATCTGCACAATATGCTGCCGAAGTTTCCGGAATACAATTCGGACCACTGTGTAATATGTATGGTTGGATTGGAGCAATTTAGTATGTTCTTTGTCGTTGATTTTATGATTTTTTATTTTTATTTACAGAATATAAAAAATAAATACAAGAAAGTAAGAAAAAGCACATAAAAAAACAGAGGAAAACGATTGTTAAATAAAATATTAAAGCCCGACGAAAGCTCGCGTTTAAGGTTAGACTATCGCGTGATATGACATTCCATTATAACAAGATAAAATATTTACCATTCTAATAGTAAGCTTTTGCCCATACGTTGATCTAAATAATTGTAAACAACCTTAATCGAACGCTGAATAAATTATAAGCCCTTTGATTTGTGCTGTGTTTATGTACGTGTGTCGGTGTGTGTGTTTAGGGCCTTATTTATTGACGTTTCCGATAGTTCGGGTCAATATTTGACTTTGGGCTATTAGCTACCGTTTTGGGAGATCTGTAAAAGAGATAAGGTTGACGGGAGGCTGTAGATTGAGAGAGTTCGTTTAATTTATTGGCTTTTTCGTGGAAGTCTGAACAACTTTTTGGGTAGTAGTGCTGGGAGATAAGTTTTGAAGGCATTAATTAAAAAAGGTTAATTGGTTGATAATTTTACATAATATAATATTAAGAGTAAAAGTTAATCCCATCAAAAACATAGAATGTAAAAAAAATGCGAAGTCTCGCAGCGCAA